GCAAAACATAATGGGGGGGGGGGGGGAATTCAGTAATTGTAGCTATAGCCTTGTCCAGTGCACTATGTCATACAATTATATAATGTGCCGAAGTGAACAGGCTTTGCTGTTTGGATGTAGACTAAGAATAAGTAACCAGCAATCTGAAGACTCAGTCTGGTCCTCACTCAGCCTTACTCCCACCGACTTCCTGAATCTTTGCCACTTTTTGCTACAAAGGGCTTTTTGTTACACATGCAACTCCGCAACATGAATTCTAATGGGCCTTGTCAGAATGACAAATGTGGTATGGCATATCATACTATCGAAGTTCAAACCTCCTCCTCTCACAGAGATATTTAATGTGAGCAGGAGACAGCAGAAACATACATTCTGCTCTTCTTGGGGTAAGGATGGGATAAAAGAGTAAAGGACACATAAGGAGATGAACTTTGGCACTGTGGAGGCTACGATCCAAAAGCACTTGCCTTAGGAGTGAATCGCTGAGCAGAGCCAAAGTTGCTGGCTCTTCAAGCCTTGCTCAACTGAAAACATGGTCCTATTAAAAATGTGGAGCCAGTCAGGGAACCTAGACTGATAGCAAGCTATGGTCCTGCCTGCACAAAGTGTAGTTACACTACACGTTGTATGTGGGCTTTCTTCCCAAGAAAAGAAGACCTACACCTGCTGAAGTAGTGATATGAGGAACGGACTGCCCACCACTCCCCTGAACTTCCACTGACAATTCTCGCTGCTTTCAACACCATAACATAATCTTGCACTTTGCATATATTAACACAGTGATTTCTTTTGCTATTTACATGCCCATTATCCAGCTCAGAACTTGCGATTCTGCATGTGGTGGAGATCCTTAATAGGGAGAACGTTTTCTCCATCTCCCACTACATCAGAACACCCAATAAACTTGATGGGCAGCAGCAGATTTAGGACAGACCTGCTTCTTCATACAATAAATCAATCAATCAATCAATCAATCAAACTAATTAATTTGTGGAACTCACTGCCACAAGATGTAGTCATGGCCAGTAGTTTAAATGACTTTAAAGGGGGATTGGAAAATTTCACAGAAGTTAGGTCAATTAACGGTTGTTACCATGATGAAACCTCCATGTAAAGAAGTACTGAGTACTAATGTTGTGGTGGCAGTAAGAGTGGAGGAGGATTTGGTCTCTGTGCCCTGTTTGTAGGCATGTAGTTGGCCACTGTATAAAAATATGCCTTTCATCCTCTATCCAAGGCAATGCTTAAGTGCACATTTCACAGCATTTTGCAAGACTGGATTTCCTAAACTCCTAAAAAATTTTTAATGAAAATATAGTCTATTGCATTCTGTTATACTTTATACAAAGCTGAATGTCTTATAAAGTTCCGCAGGGCGTGTAAAACGGAGCTCTTCCGCCAGGCTTCCAAGGCTTGACATCCTGGCCCTGGCCCTCATATTGACACCAGCAGCAGCCTGGCCTTAACATCAACACCTCCACCAGCCGGATGATTAACAGCCTGGCAGGAGCCTGGAGGCGGCCATTCAAAGTATGACAGAGTGTCGCCATCTTGTATTACGATTACATGTTTTCTATTGTAATCTTAATCTAATGTTGTTTTTAGTGTGTGTGTGTGTGTGTGTGTATGAATTTTAATGTATATATTTATACATATGTTGTTAGCCGCCCTGAGCGGGATATACATTTAAATATAAATAAATAAAATAACATTGCAATGGTCTTTGGGTAACAGCAACCTTTGCCTTTTGCCAAATTTGAACGCCTTCAACAAAACAAATAAATCAATTCAATAAAACAAATGAAACAGACTTGTCATATATATTACATATTTCTGATGTGTATGTCAGTACATGATTATAGACATACAAAGGAAAAAAACAGTGCTGTGGTTCTTAGGAAAGCAAAAATAGTTACCTCAATTGTCCCAGTTGCAAATAAGCCATGAGCAGAATTTATATCACATACATGATTCTCCCTAGAAAACAGATGGATAAAAGATGTAAAGCAACAATCTTATAAAAGCCATTAAACCCAATCCAACCTTATATATACAGAATCATAGAATCACAGAGTTGGAAGGGGCCATACAGGCCGTCTAGTCCAACCCCCTGCTCAGTGCAGGATCAGCCTAGAGCATCCCTGACAAGTGTTTGTCCAGCCGCTGCTTAAAGACTGCCAGAGATGGGGAGCTCACCACCTCCCTAAAGAGCTGATTCCACTGTTGCACAATTCTTACTGTAAAAGTTTTTCCTAATATCCAGCCAGTATGTTCCCTCCCTTAATTTAAACCCAATATTGTGAGCCCTATTCTCTGCTGCTATCAGGAACAACTCCCTGCCCTGCCTTCAAAGGGTGCCAACAGGAACAGCTCCCTGCCCTGCCTTCAAAGCGCTACTTGAAGAGAGCAAATGTCCCCCCTCATTCTCCTCTTCTCCAGACTAAACATTCCCAGTCCCTCAGCCTTTCCTCATAGGGCTTGGTCTCCAGGCCCCTGATCATCCCTGGCGCTCTCCTCTGCATGTGCTCCATTCTGTCCACATCCTTTTTGAACTGAGGCCTCCAGAACTGCACACAATACTCCAGGTGCAGCCTGACCAGTGTACAGCATTGTGTTGTGTGTATTTATTCATGTCTTGCAGCTCTCAAACATCTGATGTTTATTCTATGTGGCTGTTACATTAAGCAAGTTTGGCCACCCCTGGGATAGACCATGCCATTTTGAGTTGTTTGGAGCACAGTTCTTGTGTGACTGGCCCTACTCAGTATTGGCTTCTGTCCTTCCAGTAAAAGAGATGGCAAAGCATGTTTCTTGAAGTGGAGGAGTCAGTGCCTTGGAAATTGTCCTGTGGGGTCTCAGCAAGGCCTGGTACATATTGGGGCATGCTGATGACACCAAGCTATATATCTCTTTGTCTACACAACCAGATACAGTGATCTGTGGCTCACTGGCAGAGCATCTACTTGGCATACAGAAGGTCCCAGGTTCAATCCCTGGCACCTCCAGTTTAAAAGGACCAGGCAGTAGGTGATGTGGAAGACTGCAGCCTGAGACCCAGGAGAGCTCCTGCCAGTCTAAGTAGACAATACTGACTTTGATGGACCAAGGGTCTGATTCAGTATAAGGCAGCTTCATCTGTTCATGTATTCAGTGTTCAGAGACCTCAGTCAAATGGATGAGGGTAAATAAACTGAAGCTGAATCCAGAGAAGGCAGGTAAGGTTGACAGGGAAAAAGGAATTATCTTCATGGACTACACAGAACTGCTTTGTCCTTGTCTGAGCATGAGAAAAGCTTAGGAGTGATCCTGGGCCTGGTCTTGCTTTTTGTAAAAAAACAACAGGGGTGCAACAAGGCCTTGTCAAGAAACTGGCATTCCTTAGCCTTTTCTTGGCCGTTCAAACTTTGGTTCAGGCTTTTGGGCCTAATTACTGAAGGCTCCCTCATTGGGAAAGTTAATATCATGTTAACTTGCAATGTCCAGAGAGAGAGATAAGGAATGAGATGGAGTCAGAGATGGTTGCCAGTGAGATCATGGTCCTGAGGCCAGAGACCGAGAGGGAGTTTCAAACTCACATTCCATCTCATTAGCTCAAGGAACCCTGGGCGTGGAAAAATTACTTGATTGTGAATATGTGTCAGCTGAAGAGGTATATGGTCACATGTCTTAGCAACGTAGCAGATTGGGCAACTGGGATCATGCCAGCTGTGGGCATTCTGGCATAAATCAAGACCATTTGCTCTCATTTGGATCCCTTGTTCCTTTTGGACCACCTTGGATCTGGAGTGGCCAGAATAGCTGCTTCGTGTTTGGTTTTTTAATCATTCTGGAACTCTATTTGCACTTTGTACCTTCAGACTGATCAGGTAACATCTAGATCAGGGAACTAAAGCCTGAATAAGTACTCTGCATTAGCTATTTAGTCTTTGTTATTTTCTTTCTTGTTTGGTGCTGCTCTTATATTTGTAACCTTTTGCACATTTCTTTTAATAAACCCTATTAATTATATTCCTGTGGTGTTATTTGGGTTTTGGGGCTTCAGTCTAAACCCAGTGCCTTTGCCTATTTTGGCTACAGCTACCAAAGTAAGTCTTTTTGGGACTCAGCTTGCAAATATCTCACCTTGCAGGACTGACTTCTTGACCGACACCTGGTAGGATGGGCGACATGGTCCCTCAGTCTCTCAGCTGAGGGTTAGCCTAGAGGGGCTGATGGTGACTCATTACCCCGGGCTGTGAGAGTTCGCACCCCAGTTTTGTGCATTTTTGCTCTTATCTCATCTGTCACCTCCTTGACAGGGCTGCACCAGTAACCAAAAAAATATGGGCAAAACCCATACACTGATCAGGGAAATATGGGCAAAAACCTCATCAGGGAGTTTAACATCATCACCTCCTATGCCCCTTTCGTCCAACTAGGGCCTAATGCAAAAGCTCCCCTATCCTAGCTCTTAACACTTTGATGTTTCCACATTGATCCACATTTCTTTAACCCCTTATGAGACTACTGAAAACACCCTTTATATTGTTACTCTTGAAGGTAGCCTGGAAACTGCAGCTGGTGCAGAATGCAGCCGCTCACTTCCTGACTCGACACTGTAAGAAAGTGAAACCACACTTTTAAAAAAGCTGCGCTGCTCCAGTGTGTTTCCAAATGCGACTCCAGGTGCTAGCGTTGACCTCTTCAAGGTTTGAGAGTCACATAATTTGATGGAACGCTTCTCCCAATACACGCTCATGTGCCACTTGAGCTTGGCACAGGGGTTATGTGTTGGCAACTTTCTCTTTGTGTGGCATAAACAGTCAGTGTGGTGTGTCCGACTAGGATCTGGGAGACTCGGGTTCAGGTCCCTGCTATGCTACAGAAGCCTGCTAGGTGACTTTGGGCCAGTCTCACGCATACGGCCTAAATTATTTCACGGGATGGTTATGAGGTTATAAAGGAGGAGGGGGGGATGACATGAGTGGCTTTTGGTCCCTATTAAAAAGAACAGTGAGGTATAAATGAAGTAAACAAATAATAAAATTTGAGAGGTATATTTGGTCTCTGCAGTTGTTCCCCCTTTGTGGAATGGCTTGTCAGAGGAGGTACATAAAACACTTCCTTCCCTGGCAAGATTTCAGGACTTAAATATAGTTCCTGTTGACTTAATCTACCTATTAATACCTGCCAATTATACCCATGACACATTTTTCTCCTGAAGTACCTTGAGCAACTTAAAGGTGAACAAATTATTGTTGGATTAGAGAAATACTGTAAAATATAAGCCTAAATGAATTCCATCAAGAAATAATACAATTTACAATGCATTTGCATGGTTCATAACAGACAGCTTGTAGGACATTTTAAAAAGGTAATTTGGCTCCACCTGCTGGAGCAAGAACTAGGTAATGAATGGCAAACACTTACGAAGCATCGGTCTGTAGGGAATTCAGGTACCTTCCTTGTTCCAGGTTTAGTCTGTACACTTCAGAGCTGAAACCAAGAAAATAAAATCTATATCTATCTCTCTCTATATATATATTTGCTTCTATTTGATGATACCATTGTTCAACTAGGTACCTTCAATAGGGATCGTATCACTCCAGTTTTGTTCCGTCTATACTGGCTCCTATTCATTTCCAGGCCCAATTCAAAGTGCCGGTACTGACCTTTAAAATCGTACACAGCTTGGGATCAGCATAGCTAAAGGACTGCCCAGTCTCACATGAACCTGCCCAACCACTGCAGTCATCTCCAGGGGCCCTTCTCTGGGTGCCCTCACCGCCTGAGACTAAACCGGTGGAAACCCAAGAAAGTGCCTTCTTGGTCATGGCACCAAAATGACATAACAACCCCCCCCCCGGAAATTTGTCTGTCTTCCTTCAATGGGTGAAGACTTTTCTGTTTTGTTTGGCACCCCCTCACTGATCCTCCCTCCTATTTATGTGTTTTAATTGTTTTTTAATTGTTTTATGTATATGTATTTTTAAACTCATTTTAGTGTTTTGGATTGTTTACGCTCTTGGGAGCTCTAAGTTGGGTGGAAAGACAGCATAAAAATATTTTAAATAAATATTTAGGATTATCACTCAGGTTCCACTGCAACCACAAGAGAACATAAGAGTGGAATCTGGAGCACACTCTTCACCCATGCAGGGAGACAAGGAGGGCCAACATGAAATGAGTGCACAACCTAGAACATTCCCAAACTTCTCTGCAACACACACTTGGTTGGATCTTAATAATCTTTTCTGCCAAGTGGGGGAGGGGCAATTTCTGTTGACTCTCCCTCCCCAGCTGCCAATCTCTGATTCACCCCTCATTCTGTCCCTGGTAGTCTTCTATCTGGTGGTTTTCTGCCCCCAAGATCAATCAGCTGCAGCTGGACAAGGGAGCAGGGAAGTTCTATTACATTAATGGAAGTCCCTTCCTTTAGCAGAGATTATCATCAGGATGCAATGCAGGGATTCTGTGGCAGACAAGCACTGTCCTCAGCAGAAAATTCCTTGAGCATACAAAGTTCTAAAGCCAGTGAGATTGTGTTCGTCATTGTGACAAGGGGATTTTTCTGCAATGGGTACCAATGAAACTTTTCGTTGTGCCTGTGTGCTCACCTGTGTCCCTTCTCTACATGCAAACACAACAGACTTCTTCTAGGTTTATGAGTCTTTGAAACAAACTCCAGTTTGCCTTAATGTCCAAAGGCAACATCCTAGGTGAACTGGAGTTGCTTTCCTCACAGAAAACTGGATTCTAAACGGCCAGCCCAGCATTCAGATGGTACTGCAAACTGGAGCCTGATTCAAGGCGTCCCAAATCCAGAAGCTTTCAGTCATGCACTGCACATTG